GGGTTTTCTAAGGAGTTATGATTTATAATGAGGATATTCCAGTTATTGCGTCTATATGAAATATTAGAGGAAAAAAAATTATAGATTTCTAATGAGTATTTCCATTAAGTGTTTCGATAATAGATGTAAGATGGAAAACAGCAATGAGTTCTAATGAATATTTTTCATTCAGCGTTTTTATAGGATAATGTCAAAAGAAAAACAATCATGATTTCTCATGAGTATTTCCCAGGCAGCGCAACTTTAGAAATGTCAAAGGGAAAACATTTGTGATTTCTATTGAATATTTCCCACACAGTGCGTCCATAGAAATGTCAGAGAAAAAACATTAGTGACTTCTAATGACTATTTCCCAGTCAGTGCGCCTATAGAGATGTCAGAGTAAGATGCAACAACATACAGATGGCTGGTAGAGTTTAGTAATACCTATAAATGTGCCATTGTATGCAGCTGCGGTAGCTCAGTTGGAAGTGTTCGACTCGTAATCCAATGATCACGAGTTCGATTATCGCACATACATACATACATACATACATACATACATACATACATACATACATACATACATACATACATACATACATACATACATACATACATACATGCATGCATGCATGCATGCATGCATGCATGCATGCATGCATGCATGCATGCATACATACATACATACATACATACATACATACATACATACATACATACATACATACATACATACATACCTACGTACGTACGTACGTAAGTACGTACGTGCGTGCGTGCGTGCATGCATGCATGCATGCATACATACATACATACATACATACATACATACATACATACATACATACATACATACATACATACATACATACATACATACATACATACATACATACATACATACATACATACATACATACATACATACATACATACATACATACACGAGTGTTTATGTGTGTATGTATTCGAGCGTTCATTAATAAATCCAGGTGAACAAATATTCAAACAAGTACGTGATAAAAACATCCATAGATGCATTCCTTTATAAAAAATATAAAACAATAAACCATTATGCACAAACTTACTGGCATAAGCAAAGGAATCTACATGCAAGGGAAAGTATTAATAAAACAAAAACGAATAAGGATATGAAGGTCAAAAGGTCAGATGAGGAATAAACCACTTGGTCCTGAGTATTCAAGCAAAGTTTATAGAAAGCAAATCAAAAACGTAAGGAAATTAGGAATATTTGCCCACATGTCCAAATGAAACCGATACATGTTTTCCACGAAGCATCATGCTACTTCTCTCTCAGCCAATTAATTGTTATCGATTTCTGTTTAAAAATCACTATGATATTGCCAATAATTTGTAGAAAGTGTTGTATAACAACAACAACAACAACAACAACAACAACAACAACAAAATGTATATGCCAATTTTGTATCATTTTAAACTGTGCCTACGTGCCCAAAAAAATAATTTTGTTTTATATTTTGAAATAAGAGCGCGAAACAAATCGTATTTTTCATAGTACATTTTACTTTAGAGTGAAGATGGTCAAAAGTATGCACTGATACACTTTAAAAGTATAAAATGAGTTAGCTTTTGCGATCTTTCCCCTCTGGGTCCCCACTAGTTCTGTCTCACATACCACTCGCTTACTTGTTAAACATGTCTTCGGTCTCATGAGATGGTTTCTACAACCGGTTTTAAAAATCAAAAAGCACTGAACAACACAGAACTTGTTTAAGCAAAATAATTCCGATTTTCAAGAATAGTAATATGATCAATCAATCATCCAATTATTTTATTGTGCAACTTTCATCGAGAACAATAAAAAAATTTAAAACGAATTAAACATACATGAATTTATAACTTTGATAATATACCGTGTTAGTCACATTTCTTCTGTAAAACAGTTCGTAGACAGTATTTGCTACTAAGAAAGCTACTTTATCACTTGGATTCATTAATAATATACATTTTAACTCAGAAAGCAACTCTTCAAACTTTGATAGAGGTTTTGAACCTTTTTCTCTTCGGTTTTTAGTAGTGGACGTAAAATAAAATCATATTCAGCAAAAGAAACATAAAACGACATACAAAGGTCAGTGACTTATCTCGGTTACAGAGACTCAGAGCCTGTTAAGATGCAAACAGCCGACTCTACGAATATGCTGCCAATGTATATATTGGCAATAATGTGCACTAGTACAAGTAACAGAGCACGTCTAGCAAAGCCCTTGAAAAGGGCAAACTAACAATAATTGTATGAGTGTAGTGTTCTTACGACATCAACTATTAGTCAATAACTCAAATCCAAAGACAGCCTTTATGACTGCCATTTTGTACTCTTATATGTAAGGCGATATTCCAAGATGAGTTTTAACCTTTTGCTACTATATTTTAATATAAGCTAGCTTGGGTGTATTTCAATTTATTCCTAAACTGATTTCAAATACGTTATATTGCTCTTGGAAGTGCAAAGCTACGAAATATCTACCCAATCATGTACCATGGCAAATTTAATGTATATACCCATTCAAGTACTTATCGAAAGTATAGGCACAGAAATATGTAGACAATTATGCGCCATGTGAAATTTAAATTCATGTACCTACTTATGTATTTGCCTAAAGACTTGGTACAGAAGTATGTACCAAATTATCTAACAAGGTAAATTTAAATGCATGTGCCTACCTATTTATGTATTTGACTCAAGAATAGGTACATACATATGTAAATTTAATTAGAAATTATTTTTCAATGTAATTCGCTTATACGTCTTCGCATTTTGTACACCCGATTCAGTTCTGTGGGATATGATGTATGAATCTAGTATTATTCATTCCAGTATTACATCAAAAATACTTTTAAAAAATGGTAGCGAAGTAAGAAATTATGTTTGGGTTTACAACAGGGAAATAAGAATTGAATTTCCGTGATATCAGCAGAGTAACCATGTAAGATTGAATGTATGTATATATATATATATATATATATATATATATATATATATATATATATATATATATATATATATATATATATATATATATATATATATATATATATATATATATATATATATATAACAAACTCTGCCTCTCAAACGAAATACATTTGATACAGAATAGAAGCTGAGACCTTTTTACCATTATAATGGTCTTCTACAAGATCCACATTCCTTTTCCATCTCCTTAAACTATCACCAAACAATTTCAATGTTCAAAAGCCAAAAGCCAAACTTTTGTTTACTAGAGACTCAAACCTTAATGTAAAATCAGTCTTATCTCAAACCTTAATGTAAAATCAGTCAGGAATTATGTTAATCGCACCTGTCTGACATTTTCTTTTGATCTGTTTCTTTACTCAAGCAAAAGTCACCGGGTTTATGCGCCATACATAGTTTTAGGTTGTTTTTTTTCGGGGGAGGGGGGTATTTGGGAGCGGGGGTTAAAATAAATCTTTCATCTTTCATTAAAAAGAAAAACTTTTCCCTTAAAGGCTGAGTGATGGGTTGAAAAGAACTAAAATTATTTAATCTTTTCGTGTGGACAATATTATGTCACTTTGTTTATTTGCAAAGATAATGTCGTGAGCTATGATTTGAACAAGCCCTATTGATGGATAGGTTGCAAGAACATACCGCTCTCTTTTCGTCTGTCCTTTTATCGTATTTCCTCAGTACACCACCTACGTACGTCTACAAAGGCTAGGTAATGGCCATCATTATACTAAGAGGATAAAGCAAAGCACGGTTTAAACATCGGCTCCACCTGTGTATAATTATTTTTTTGATGTTCTTAAGAGAAAGGAATTGATAACGCTTGTATCACAACAACATCCGAATCTGTGCTTACTTGTGTATTAAAGGTTTGCAAAAACCATTTCCTGGTGCGATGTATGGTTAGTTCTGTGAACCGAACCGCCCATGATATTGTACATCATTAGAGCGATTCTACAGCACTACCTCTACATCATGCTCCCACTCAACACCAGACTTCCATGCATGGTACAAGATTTTAACAGGTGTGTGTGAGTGTATGTGTGTGTGTGTGTGTGTGTGTGTGTGTGTTTCCACGACTGTAAATGCCATGAAAGTGAAAAACCCAAATATTTCTTATAATTTGATTAATATATCTTTTACCGGAGTGATTACGTTCAGATTAAAGATTTTACATTAATTTTAATTGAATTTTCTTTAGTCATGAAACTAAATTTGCATATACAACAAAGATAACAGTGTTAGATATAAATACCTTAATTTATGTGTATATTATTAAAAAGCAAATACAATTCTCACATTTTAATTATAGATAAACTAAAATTAATATATTTCATACTAGGCTTATCAATAATTAGGTTTTTCTATTTCCCTGTATTGTACTATGACGCGTTTTATTGGATGAATCAAGTCGTAATTATTGACTTCACAAATAGAAGATGTAATTGATATTTAACTATCCTACGGGACTCGCGATTAAAAGGCTTTTATTTGAATATAACCATCGGATCAGACCTGAATCGGCTAGTGTCATTGGGCAATGTAGTTTACTCTAAATGCCTCTGCACTAAACAACCTCTTTAACGAAACTTTACCAACTCAGGTATCATAAATAAATGTTACGTCGAGAACTACATGCGCGTACTTAGTCCTTAAAGTCAAGGTCATGGCTGAATCATATATGCTGTAAAATAAGACATATTCATATAGGGTATAATTCCTAATTATGTGGGTAACGAATATCCGAGAAAATAAAACCATCACGAAATAGAGTATCGTAGACTGAGTATAAAGTCTAACATTAAAACAGGCAAAATTTTATTCCCAGGAATATTTCTGATTGTTCAGTATTTCTTCAACCACTTGTCCACTTTGTCACTTTATTTTGTATAAAATGATACACATAATGATTTTCTGAATATAAACCGAAGCATACGTCATTTGTGCATCATTAGTTGCACCCCACACTCATATACCCAGATTACATATTTTGACACAACCGCTCGGGTGGCATAGATGTTAGAGCGTCCGCTTGGGATGCGGTAGGTCGTGGGTTCGATCCCCGGTCGATTCATACCAAAGACTCACAAAAATGGTACTAACAGCTACCTCGCTTGGCGCTTATCATTAAGAGTTTAGTGTTAGGACTGGTTGGCCTGGTGTCAGGATAATGTGACTGGGTAGGACATCATGCTACATGTCTGCGGCATGATACCCCAGTGCTAGACATCACTATAAACTGCCACACTACAGACATCGTAGCGATATGACTGAAAAATTGCTAAAGCTACTTTAAAAGTTATAATCACACCACATCATATATTTTGACACAGACATGAGCATATAATAAACTGTACCAGGTCCTCCTCTCCGTTACTTACGCTATCATTTATACCTCTCTTGCATGTCAAACATTATCAGCTATCAGGAAATGGATTTCGTTGAAACACTTCCCGATTTCAAAATATATTAGTTTTCCTTCTTTAGCTTCAAAGATTCCAAGCAAAGGTCAGTTATGATCTACAACTCATGATTGCGCGATTGTTGCCCCCTTGCGGCTGCCGGAAACATCGACTTCCTTCTATCAAGTTCTATCCCAGATTGCAATGCTATTTTGATCATCTTTTTAGTTGCCATTGCAGTCCAATGAAGGTGTTGTCTCGGCGATGCCGTGATATGGAGCGAAATTATAAATCTCTGATGAATGTCGACAAAAATGAATCGCGTTCATTCAAACTGATGATCTTGTAATTTTCCTCCACGGTCTTCAACAAGTTTACCGTTTATTTCAACCCATTTGTCAAAACATATAGCACCAACAGAGTAAACCTTCCAGTTTTTATATATTCTTTTATGATTTCTTCTGAAAGAAATGTCAATTTATCAGCATCTATGAGAAGCCGTGAGCAATTTTGAAGCATCATCGAGTACTTATATTTCACTACGACAGCGACTGAGATGAATTGAGTGGTATGTGCATACTGTTAAAACGGCTCAGTAACAAATAATGCGTTATTTTAGAAAAAGATATTAAAAGTAACTTAACTGCTTTGTTCTTAAGGGTAAAATACATTAACGGTAACTTTACTGTTTTAGCATTCTTAAGGTCATATAGATATCGTGTTTTCTTTGAGCTTTATGCCAAAATAACGATTTATCAATATTTTTCGTAAAAGTAATATCAAGCTCAAAAGCGCTTCTTTTTACCATTTTATTTTCTTGCTTAATGTTTACCACATAGATAACTTGCAAAGAACATTATGAGCCAGGTGCAGCATTTTTAATAAGGTTCATCAAGGAAAGTTAGAACAATGCTTACATTGTCATTAAAGATCGGAAAACATCTTTGGCTAACAGGGGCTTAGATACCATTTAGCAATAGAATGCAAGACCCACAAATTATTTTTTTTTTTGCACTATAGATTAGGCATAGACCTATCAGCAATATCTGCATAGGGACCCAAATATTCTAGTTACGTCATGGGTTGCTAAAGTTGTAAAGTGTGTCACTTTAGCACTGAAATGCCTTTTGAAGCTTTGAACTAATTTGAAATATGAAAGCTAAAACTAGGACTTTCATGGACTTTAATTTATATTTTTCTTTTACATAAGGTTCAATCCAGTATAATGTGTTTTCATTAACCTTCTTGTTTGATCTGGCGATAAAACGATGAGTAATATACACTAAAAATACAAGAAACATTTAGGTATTATGGAATCAAACATGACCTTGGGAGGATATTTATAAGAAGTGTTCGTATTTTGCAGCTCAAAAGCAAAGTATACTTGGTTTCATAATAATGACCCTAACAAACACCGAAAATTTACTAGAAAATCTGACACAACGATAAAGTCGTGAGAAAACAAACATGGTCGGAACAAATATTACATGTATCAAGCATGACGGACTACGCGTTATTTCAACAAGTGCATTATCCCATCCCATTTTTATCTGTTCATTGTTAATTCTTTGAGTGAACACTGTCCTAAGAGTTTTAAGCTTGTAATGTAAATGTTAACATGTTAGTGTTTACCTCAGAAATAATATAATTGTTCATGGATTCTAAGTGATTTTCAGCAAACAATAATTCTTCTATCTTCAAACGGCTTTGTAACGTGTGTCTCTGATATCGCGTGTACTTATCATTTAGTACGGAGCAATTTTTAGACAGTATAAACAGTTGTAACGGTACTCCTATCTATTTTCTCGTCCGTCTTAAAGCTTATATAGTTGCCACTAGTAAATATTATCGATCTTATCGAACTAGAGTAGTTCCGATATAGAATCGATATAAGGATAATCGCTTAATATGAGCTAGGGTATTTCTGACATAGAATCGATTTAAGGATGATCCCTTGATACAAGTTAAAGCAATTCTGATATAGAATTGATTTCAGGATCATTGTTGTGAAATGTTGGAGTATTTAACTTCTCTAAAAAAGGTGTTGTTTTGCTTACTTCAGGTTCCACGTTTCCAGAATCAATAACATATTTATACCTTGGTGTCCATTTTATTTCGCTCTCTACGTTCTAAAGGTAAAGGTCATTACACACAAATATAAAAAAAAAACTTTATCGCTAAATGGCAACAAATAAAAGTGAATGAATATTAAAAATTTAATTACAGCTGCACACGTTAAACAGCAGATATCCCTCTTAGCAAAAACAGAAAGAAAAACGTAAATTGTGAGACTTTTTAAAATTGTATCATAACTCAGGAAGGAGATCACACAGATTTTACAGAAAAGACCAATGTAAGGCAGGTCGCACAAAGTTAAAGATTTTCAAAGGTGAAATAAACCTTCGTTGACTTTATAATTTTATTTTTTTTTTAGCCGCTCAGGTGGCCTAGTAATTAGAGCGTCCACCTTGGATGCGAGAGATCGTGGGTTCGAACCCCGGCCGAGTCATATCAAAGATGTTTTGAAAAAATTGGTGTTAACTGCTGCCTCGCATGGCGCTCAGTATTTAGAGGTTAGTGCTTGAATTGGTTGGTCTGTTGTCAAAATAATGTGACTGGCTGGGGCATCATACTACATGTCTTCGGCATGATGCCCCAGTGCAAGACATCACTATAAACTGTCACACTGCAGACATCGTAGCGATATGACTGAGAAGTTGTCCAAGCTACGTTAAAAATCTAAATCATACACACATATACTTTTATTTTTAAAGACAATTATTGAATTTAATACGTGGGTCGAAACTCGACCGAGTCTTTCCAAAGACCCATACATATAGTACAATCAGCCGACTCGCTCAGCATTAAGAGGTTAGCGTTAGGACTGGTCGGTCTGGTGTCAGGATAATGTGACTGGGTGACACCTTATTCAATATGTCTGTGGCAAGATGCCCCAGTTTTAAACACTAATCTAAACTGCCACGTTGCAGATATCGTAGCGATATGACTAAAATTGCTAAACCTAAATTAAAAATATAATCTATATGCACAAAAGAGATGCGAAAAACTTCATCATATTGTGTGCGTGTGTGTATGTGTGTGAGAGAAAGACAGACAGACAGACAGACAGAGTTGTCGTTACCACGTCATTTTACGTCTAGTTTCTTCCAGATTTTATAACACTAAGAAGCATCAAGGCAGAAAGTGACATCATATGGATGAAATCAAAATGTAATTATTACGCCAATTCGATTTGCACAAAAATCGTCGATTCCACTAAAGCTGACAACCTTAAGAAAAGAAAGGTGTGACCTAAAAAGTAGTTCAACTCTGTCGTCCGTAAAGTGACCTTAGGTTACACCTTTCGTGTTGGATCTGTACCACCTCTTGCAAGATGTTTTTGTGTTGCTTGTGTCTTGGTTCCCCATTGCTTGTCTTAGCTCTAGAAATTTAATAATATTTTTTCCTCTAGTTTAGTTTATGTTGTGTGTGTGTGTAACTTTACCATGGTTTTAAGTTATATGGTGAGATGATACCCACTCACGCAAATGCTTATCCAGTATCTTCATGATAATGGTCCGTACAAGCTAGGCTTGGGTCTGCTGATTTCCTGAAACAATAGTTTTCATGAGTACTTTTCGTGATTCTTATTAACTTTAGTCTCCAACCGACCTGCATAGTACCCTTCTGTTCACCCCTCCCCTCAAAATCCATACATTTCGTGCTGTCTCGCTCTGCGTGTTGTTTGTTTTTTATTAGTTCTATGGCATTCAGAGGGTTACGGCATATGGACAATCTGTTTGGTAATACATACTTTGGCATCTGCCGTCCGCTATTCGTCTGCTTTCACTAAATGTTGTTCACGATTTATTATTGACAGCGATGACGCTTTCCAGCTTTATTGTTGGCGCTTGGCCATTGGTATAGGGATAAGGTATGAATAAAACCTAAAAACAAACAAAAGAGCATGAAATAAACAAGAGAGGAGAATATGTATTACCCTGTGATGCGATTACGATAACAAATGGTATCATAAAAAGACAACTGGAGATAACTCATATTATGTTGTAATACATTACATACTTTAGAAGAACTGTTTTCATTTCTCGTCGGATACTGAGCAGAACATTGTGGTTCTATCAAGGGAGTTGATCCATGGCATGTTACGTGAGTATAAAAGTTCTTGTTATTTCGCACCATTATTGTTCTTTTACTTCTTATATTTCCATATCCGCTGCTAAGTATTAAAAATGCATTTCTGGCTATGTTAGGGAAAACTCCCGTTCACACTGCATGATTAAGTATGGTATAGAGCCTGTTAGGAATTGACCTTGGACCTTTTTTGTGTCACAGATTCACGGTTGGCGTTGGTGTGGCCTAATTTCGTGAGCCTCTTGAATTAGTTCCAGGGACCCAAACTTCCCCGTATCAAAAGCTTAAGACACCATTGGACTGGTTTAAGAAAATTTAAACAAATTATGCATATGCCATATTTTAATTTTTTAGTTTGGATGGTAAATTGAGTCATTCGTAGGGAATGAAAATGAAATACAATGGAAGAAGGTCAGATTGACCTTGGAGCATCCTAGGACATTAAATTGACCACTTTGACGTTATTACCTTGATGAAATATCTGACTACTTGTAAAGAACTATTGAAAACTCATTTAAAT